CTACAGAACAATTAAATGATTGTCCCGGGCCGATATCCACCTTAAGCCCCCCCTTAAGTGTAGAGGCCTGTCTCCTGGTTTTGTTTCAGTGCGTACTGCATGTAGGACCATGGTACGTTAAGCACAATAGCAACTTTACATTGTGTCAGCCCTTGGTCAATTACTGCTGGTGCTGGTGTTAATGGCATTTTTATTGGTTTTAAAGCACCTTTAGTTATTGAATTAAAAACACAAGGTCACAATAATTGAATAACCTTACAGTAAACTTTTCACAACACCAAAAATTTAAAATGTGAACTTAGTCGCTCAAATGACCCGTTTCAACTAAAAACTTAAGAATTCATCATGGTGCACTTAAACATAATTAATTACCTTCTTGAACTTGAGGGTAAATATTTTTTGACATACCTGCATAACAAACATTCATCAGAAACACAAAGCTTTTGCTATCGCAAGATAAGCGCTTGGCCAAGATTCCATGCCATTGAGTGTATTATCAACATAAATATAAATACCATTTCGCGAACAACATTCTTGGCCTTTTCTGTTAGCTGACCAATTAAACCTGAATACAACACAGATGTAGCATTGTCCAGTGAGCTCTTGATGGGTATCCCTGAAAATATTTCCGATGAATTTAGTTAAATTATATTGAGAAATAGCCTGAGAATGAGAAAGAAGTTAAAATAATTATATTTATGTAAATTTCAAATCTGTTAGTTACAAAATATTGTTTTCAGATTATTTAAAAAAAATTGCAGTTGATATTGATTTTTTTTAGTTTCCATGGCACTGCTTAGTAAAATCGAACAAACCTTCGTGATTCACAATGATTACACCCATTACTCCTTTATGAGCTTGAATTCTTTTGATAGTTTCTTCAACTTCTGTTGCCTGAAAGGAAACATACAAAACAAACAATATTTAAAAGTTAAACCACATATTAAAACTATAAAGAATCGAAATAAATACCATATTCCGATGTTTCTTTTGATGTTACAATTAGAAATGTATTTCACAGTAGGCAAAGGCATACGACAAACGTCAATGTCAAATCAATAAAACCATCCAGTAGTGTCAAACTATCACATGTCACATTACATTACCGACATTGCCAAAACGCAAGGTTTTTTGACATAAATCTATCTTTTTCGTGTGCGAATGGGAAAGAAGGCGCCAATTTGTCTATAGGTTTCTCTGACTACGGCTTAAATACTGGAGCAAATTATCATATGGTCTAAGTTCGTGTGTTCCACCTAGAATGAGGGCTGATAATAATCTTCCGTACACCAAATGTCACCAGTGTACTGAGGTGAAGCTATTTGTACCCCTAGTCCAGCCTATGATTTTGGAGTATATATGTATATAAAAGAATACTGACAGACGTATTTTAAATAGCACATCTCAAAAATATTAATCTAAAATGAAATTAACGGAATCCTTACAACGTCGTTATTACTTCAAATAGTTTGAATTGGGTATTTTTTGCATTATGATAAAACTGCACCTTGTTGGAATATAATTGCACCATCGTTAAAAATGCATAAAATGCTAAGTGCAAAAAGTTAATAAAAACAATTTTTTTAAGTATCGAGAGATTTGTGATGTCATTTTCTGCAAAGCTCCCCTCGCTCTCGTTCCTGACACTAGATGGCGCTAGTTGACTTATTCACGCAACACTGCCCCCTCCTAAGACATGCTCGTCCCGAGCATTATCGGTCCCATAATAACGCGCCAAGCGATCCACATGGACGATCTTAGGAGTCCCTCTTGCGCCTTTCTGTAACGGCTCCGCAATGTCAAGGGCTGTCTTATCCCGTGGTGCACCAACATTGTACAATTTCGGTGCTCCTCTACTACGTGTCTGAGGTCCCCGCACGGCCGCACAACTTGTACATGTACGACACCAATCCTCGACATCGTCACGATAATGGACCCAGTAAAACTGTTCTCGGACCTTCAGTAGAGTTCGTTTAACTCCCAGATGGACTCTTGAACGACCATTATGGCACAGCTGTAGAACATTCGGCACTTTAGCTTTAGGGACAACCATTTGCAAACGACAGCTGTCTCTTCGACCATTGTCCCATTTACGGCACAGGACTCCATCCTGAATCAGCAAGCTGTCCCATTGGGCCCAATAGCTTTTCGTGGTTGAACTCATCGCTGAGACGTCCCTCCACTTAGACTTGGTAGCACGGGCCTTCATCCATCCCAGAATCGGCTTGATGTCCGGATCTTCCTGCTGTGCATGTCGTAGGCTGTCCTTCCACCCGTTGCTGAGGTGGTCTGTCCTGAGCATCCTCACGGATACCACTTCCTTACTCTCTTGCCTACTACAATGGTTGCAATCTTCAGGACAAGATCTTCTTGTCAATGCATCTGCGTTGCCGTGAGATTTCCCGCTGCAGTGTCTGATAGTAAAGTCGTATTCCTGCTGCTGCTGGGCGGTGCTGTTAGCTGCACTTCCTTTCTGAGACCGTTCACCTTCCCTTCCTAGGGTGTGTTTAGGACAGCTGGATCGAAGATGGCCCCTTTCCCCACAGACATAGCACCTAGGGCTGTATCTTTTATTGTGGTCGCGAACCGTAACTGCTGTAACCTCCCTAGCGTGGGGTGAACGATGATCCTGTCGCCGCCAGGCAGTGCCGTTAGCTGCACTACCCTCTCGAGATCGATCAACACTCCTTTCCATTGTTCGTTTAGGGCAGCTGGATCGAAGATGGCCCTTTTCCCCACAGCCATAGCACCTAGGGCTGTATCCTTTGCTGCGGTCACGCACTGTAGCGGCTGCAACCTCCCTGACGCGATGGGAATGATGATCCTGCCGCACGGCTTCCACCTCCAGTGCATGGGCCAAGGCGTTCTTAATCGTCTCGTGGTGCCCGAGCCTCACAGCAGCTCTGACTTCCAGGTCGCGGATGCCGTCGATGAATGTCTGCACCAGGTTCCCTTCAATGAGCGCAGGTACAGACCGGTATGCTTTCCGCACCAGCTTCTCCACCTCTAGAGCCCACTGCTGCAGGTTTTCGTTGATGGGCTGCACGCGATCTTTAAGCTGCGCACGAAAGATATGTTCCAGGTGAGCGTCGCCATATCTCGCCTCCAACGCCTCAAGGAGTTGCTCATAAGTCACTCCGGAGCACACGTCTTCAACACAATAGGAGGGACCCATCAGTCTCACTCGACTTGTTGACGTCCAGAAAGAGGAGTGCTCTGCGCACCTAGCACTGCGTCCTGCATAGAGTATTCACACTACGGGATAGTCGCGGTGTGTTGAGAGCTCATCAGCCAGTGAGTCGTCGTCCCTGTGCAGAGATAGGAGAGATAGCTGGCAGAAGTTGCTTTGGACAGCTTTGGCCAGAGACCAGAACGCACGTGTTCCCGAAGGTTAGTTTCTCGCCAATTCTGCCGATGTGACCTGACCTTGAAAATGACACTTTTAAGGACCTGGAGGCGGAATTATACTTCTTTTTAAGAGCGCTGGTATTTGCATCCCGAGATGTCGATGCGTCAGCCCAGGCCTGGTAGCATTCTTACTTACGACGTAATGTAATTTTGTAGAAGCGACCAAACCATGGCTTGGTTCTCCCTCCTATAGGTATTACAAATAATGGAATAAAAAGTTCCATTCCTTGTCCATCTGTGACAGAATCAGCAACAATGCTTGGATCATCCGGCGAGAAGCAAACTCACCCCAAGGATAGGATGCAATAAAAATTGCATTCAGTCCCAATCGGCTACAATGCCAATCACGGCGGTAACCTCTAGAACGCAACCGCGTTGGGAATGTGAGTCGCACTCCGATTCAGACAATGGTCCGAGGAGTCAAGAGGGGCATCGACGGAGGCCTGATATCCGTCCGGATGAGAGGTCAGCAGAAGGTCCAACAGGGAAGGTATGATCTTCCACACCTCAGATCCGTGTAGGCGAGGTAACCAGTTGTGTCTGCACATATCCCAAAATAAAGCCATAAACAGGGAACCAAGCCATTTAGCATGGTGGGCGTTAAAATCAGCAAGCATCACGATTCCTACGGATGAGTAGCACGGAGTCTGCAGCCATTTGGACATGGCCGATGAGTCGGTCTCAGTCGGCATTACCGCTATGTGTCTGCTATAGAACGCTATATATCTATAGAGGCACCCGTAGACACGGGGGTGGTCGTCGCTGTCTACGCGCAGCCATAAGATGGACAGGTCCGTACCTTCAAAGCTGCCGAGGTGTCGATAACAGGGTCCTCTCTGACATACTCGCAAATTCCAGCCCGGGGCACAAAGGAGTGTGGTAGTGGACGCCCCCCTCCCCCCATAATATGTGGAGCAGCCTGAGTACCCAGGCTCAGAAAGAGTAGGTTAGCTTGGGCGTGAATGCTCAGAGAGGGATTTTCAGTAACCGAGGGTGCTGGTACACTTCTGAGGTAGTGTTCTATTTAACTCCGCTACCATTTTAAGGGGGGTGGAGAGAAATAGGGCTTCCGGCCACCTACACTCACTAGACGAAATGCAAAAGCAGAGCTTCACGCTGGTCTTCGGCGAGGTCGTGGTATCACCCCGGTTCGAGCCGAACCAAACGTGCAACAGCGAAGGCTGCCACGTGGCTTTATCACTGTTATTTTACCACGGTATTTTTGGACAAAAAATATTGAAAATGTAAAAGTGATTTTATGAGTATTATGAGCGAGGCTTTTTTTGATTCCACATCCTTCATCCTTTCTAGCTGAAGGCCTTGTTGCCAGGCTCCAATTAGGGCCACAATAAAAAAAGGGCGCTTGACGTTGACGTTTCTCTTGACACCACTTGACTAGACTACAGATAACACAAAAACATTAAAATAAATAAATTATTGAACGAGAGAAAAGAACGTAGCCCACGTATTTGTAAACTTTTAGCCAAAATTCGCTATGTAGCGATGGCGTTCTAATTTACACTACTTCTGAAGCGATAATACACAAATGACAGTCTTTTAAATTATCAACATGCTTAAGTTTTAACGCAACCATGAACGAAAGCGCAGCTGAATGCTCCGAAGCTTTAGATCCTCGAGTACAGGTAAAAATAATCAATAACTTCGAGGACAAAATCATAGCATCTAATTGTTGTTTGTCTTTTTCGCAAGAAAGTAATAATATTGACAAAAAAGTGAAATAAGTATGTTATACAAGAATTTCGATTAAATTAATACTGAAAACTGTTTTCGTATTACACTTGTACTTCGTCACGCTACTTATAAAGTTAAAAATAAAACTGCGTGTTTTAATTTTAAGTAACCGCGTTTTAATATCTGCTAGTACCCTTTAATATCATCCTATGGGTGTAGTAAGAAGTGATATAGAGAGACTGAGACTGTAGGTGGGCAGCAACTTCCTATTGACAACTAAAAATAATAAAAAATTGCGGTAGCCCAACGGCTTGCCAAGCAACTATGACTTAAATAGGCTATAATATTCCATATGTAATGTAATAACTTCAACATTAAGTAAAATAGTTGTAGCGATACTGATTTTACTTAGTTCATCGTAGTGGTAGTAAAGATGTTTTTTATATTTTTATGTTATTATATACACATATATATATATATATATATATATATATATATATATATATATATATATATATATATATATATATATATATATATATATATATATATATATATACTATATTTGGACAGTGTGCTCATTTGTCACCCTTATACTATTAATAAAATGACTAGCTAATACTCGCTCGCTTTGCTGGGCGCATGATAATGTTTTACTGCGGAACCTAGATGTATGATATCAAGAATTTTTTTATGGGACTATCGTAAAATCCGTTCTTAGTGAACATCTACATGACAAAATGAGTAACAATACTGAATTTCAAGTCAAATGAGCTTATAGTTTTAGAGATCTTGTGATGTTGAGTGAGTCAGTCTGTGGTACTTTGCAGATAACAACAACAATCTAAAAACATTGAATTTAAGTTTTAGTCCTCAATTTATGAGAATAGCTTAGATTAAATGACCCTTTATTTATATATTTTAATAATATGTTATATATGTGGTAGAGCTATGCTGCAGCTATATTAGTAATATAATTATAGCATGAATGGGTAGGCTCGTCCAGGGAAGAACCACACTCTCACAGAATACCAGCCTAAAATAGCAGCTGAAAGCTGCTGTGTTTTGTATGTTGAGTGTTGAGAACTGGAGACCCTTTTTACTGGAAACAAAGCATTTTATCTTAGTCCTCACAAGTGATAATGCATCTGCATTTTGATTCATAATCGAGGGTAGATGTAGATGTCTATGGGCCACAGCAACCACTTACCATCAGGTGGATTGTGTGCTTGTTAGTCACTCTTATCTATATGAGAATCTTCACATGAGCACATTATTTGTTGTTTTTGAATATGTAATATTTTCATAAGCTAATTAACTACTACTAACTAATATGTTACAATAACATTACTTTTAAAAGTTTTTTTTCAATATGGCCCTTTGGAATTGCAATTAATTAGGTCATAGAAATTCTGCCAATGTGGTTCTTTGATCTGTCACATTGTTTCTCGAGGCTTCTCAGTGGTAAAGGAGTTGGCAGTTATTAGGTGACAATGTGACTAAAAAGAGAACACAACTGAATACATAAGTTATGGACACAATACAAAACTAACATCTAATCATAGGACGGGTGTAGCTTTTAAGAGTTATTATAAAAACTTTAATTTTGGTTTTTTTATTAGCTATAATAATGCCAGGTGCTTTATGAATAACTTTTATTTTCTTATTAGTAGCATCATTCCACCCAGTATTTATTACACTGGAGAGGTGTACAATCTTTCAGGGATATAAGCCAATCTGGCATGTCTTCAGGCATTTCTCTGCTGTGGGGAGATCCACTGTTTAAGAAGGACGCCTAATAAACCCCACTACTCAATTTTGTCTAAGCCTATTTCAATTTATTTACTTTTAACAACAAAAAATCGTAACTTAAGAATAATAGCTAAATCGCTGATATATAGCTGAATTACTGAGATATAGCTAAATCACCTAAATTGTTAATGAAATTGTTCAAAAATATGCTAATGAAGAATAGCTAAATTAGTTTAAGGCTGTTTCCTATTTCACTAATACTGGTCAGTTATGCAATCATCATTTATTCATACAGACTGTCAAAACTCCCCTGCTGAATATAGAATCCCATAGATTGTCTCTTACTAGTAAGCTTTTTTTTTTTAAGAAGTATTGTGACAAATAAGCACACCATCAACATCAACTTACAGCGATGATCATAATTAATCCTCCTCCAGTCATCAAAGGCACACAGACATCAATCTTTAAAACAATTAGGAGCAATATGGCCACAGTAATACAACTGAGTAAACTCGCCTCATAATACAATACTTTTAAAAAAAAATTCTCAGATCAAAGTGCCTTTGAAAGGATAACTAGTTGACAAATATTTTGAGAATTTTGTCAATATATATTTGTATTGCCAACTATTGTGCTGGTGTTTAGTGTGGTGAGTGTAGATATACCAAGATCCGTATACTGAAACTGACGCATTTCATCTTTGTCATCAGGGGTGACATTTTTTATCTACAGTTTGATTTAAATTGGTGACAGATGTAGGTGTTTATAAGCCACAGCATTTACTTATCCCCAATTGATTTGTGCGAACATTTGTCATAGTGTATAAAAAAAAAAGTACAGTGAAGTATGCAAGCCAGTGGTGCAAAAATCTTGTGCTTGTATGTTGTTATTGTTTAAATTTACAACAAATCTTAATTTTTTATAGTCTTTTTTTTGTTCTATGTAGATAAATGGTAGGACATGTACATGTAGTTGTCAATTAGCTGTTATATAAACAGTAGGCTACTATACTAGTTGAGTCTTTCACCTAACACACTACATACTTTTATCAACCTCGTTACTGTTATATTAAATTGCTCTAGCTCAGGGGACATTTACATATTTGAGTTTCAACCGTCCCACTATTAATTAAATCAACTTTAAGTAGTATAGACCTTCGAGCCGGATTCAAACTACTGACGGATTAATATAGAATTTTACTAGAGGCGTTCAATAAAAAGTGAGAATGTGTATGTTACAGGTAACTTATATTAAAAGATATAGGGGCATCTGATTACGATGAAACTGGTAAGTTCTTGAATGAGTGTTCGCAAATGTTTGTAATAAAAAAAGGCTTTGAAACATACATAGTAGATATAATTTGAAACCAACCCTGGTCTTATCGGTACTGCGAACTATCTGAATAGTGTTTTAGTATTTTAAATAGTAGAAAAAGTACAGAAAAAGAAAAAGGTGTTTACTCAGTCTATTTCAACTACCTTACTGACCAAATTCTCTGTTTTAATCTAGTTAAAAAAACAATATGGTGATGTGGAATGTGGTGAGTTACGAAAAATCGTACCAACCATGTGTTTGTCTTTACGAGTAAATTACTTTAGTTCTTTATGCCTAATTCGATTTTTACTTGATGACAACTCGTCACAAAGGTGTACCATTGACATCTGACAGACGTTGTATATTGGCAGAATACCATTTGCTTGCTTCGCCACAATGATGCTACATATAACATAACAATGTGTTAGCTTAAACATTAAACTAGTTATAAGGCTTAGCACGCACTGAGATTAAACGCACGCGTTTAACCGCACGTCTGAAACCGAAAAAAATGTAATACATAGCTTTCTATACAAGCGCACGCATTAGCGACTTTTTTCTCACAGTAATAGTATGACGGCGCACGCTCAGAGGTTAACCGCGTTCGGTTTTTTATTCAGTATCGACTAGGCCAGACTAGGCGAGCGCAGAGGTCAGTCGCTATTTGCGGTGTTAATTAGTAGCAAAATTATCCTTTCAGATGTCTTTTATCTGTTAGTGGATGTACCCAATACTTATGGCGGCGCCGTTGTTTACGTTTTCTATTTCTTCATTTTAAGGTGGCCGTAGTCGATGGCACAAGTTAAAATGCATGCTATCTCAGTCGACATCACGTGCGAAAGCGAAAAGCATGATGATTTACAATAAAAACGAACGCGCGAAATTTTATAAACAGACCTTTGGGAATCTAGATATTATGAAAAATCTATTGAATTTATCTTTTCAAAATAAAGTTATTTGCACTTTTCTATCCCTGTATAGTAACTGTTTTGCAATTTTCTTTCTTCTTATGGTATTTATTTCCGCCCAAAGATGTGTTAAAATTAGTGTTGAAATTTGTAATTTCCCGCTCATAACTTTTAAACATATTCTTTTTTTGCTTTTTTTGCTTGCATACAGTGCTAGATAATGATAACACAAATTGAATCATTTTTTATTTTGTACGTACACCATCAAACAGTGGAGTAATCGCTAGACTACGTTTGTATGGAAGAATGAGTGACTAGTGTAACCTTAAAACCAAAGCCACAACACACGCTTCTCGCCAGAAATCCATGGTAATACTGAAATAATATTGAGTAAAACGCCAGCCGCAGTGCGTGATGGTATGCGGTTTTGTGTTTTCAGCTATTCCTAAACCACTCGCGTTTAATCGCAGTGCGTGCTAAGCCTTATAGTTCATAAAAGATAGCTTGATCTCTGCGACAGCTGTCAGTAAAATCACGCCTATGAAGTCCTGAATTTCTTAGTAGTACAGACAGTACCTGTCAATGTCATACTTTATGGGCATGCCTCGGCATTATAAGGAATTACCTCAAAGAGTATTTTGTATACGGATTATCTCGAAGAGTATTTTGTATACGGATTACCTCGAAGAGTATTTTGTATACGGCTCATTTGTATTTTGTATTCGGCTAATAGCCGAAGTTGCGGTCACACATAGCTTCAGCCAGTAACAACTAGTTACAACCAATAACGGTTATTTAAACTTAAGTGCATTCGTTTAAAACTACTTTTACGGATTTTGTCGCGTTTATTTTTACTTTTTATTTTTAATTCCCGACGTTTCGGGCGCTTTCCAGCACCCATGGTCACGGGGGACTGAGATGACTGACGTCCCGATGTCATTGTTAAACCCGGAGTACCTTCAGCTTTTTTAATTATTGTTTATGGTCCGATCTATGCAAAATGAACTGACTATATCCTGAGGTCTTGCAGTGGTATGCTTGGGTTTAGTTTTAATTTTATTGATTATAGGATCCCAAGCAGGTGGTAGTACCCAGCCTCCTTCTCTATTGAATCTATATTTATTGAATCAATAGAGAAGGAGGCTGGGTACTACCACCTGCTTGGGATCCTATAATCAATAAAATTAAAACTAAACCCAAGCATACCACTGCAAGACCTCAGGACATAGTCAGTTCATTTTGCATAGATCGGACCATAAACAATAATTAAAAAAGCTGAAGGTACTCCGGGTTTAACAATGACATCGGGACGTCAGTCATCTCAGTCCCCCGTGACCATGGGTGCTGGAAAGCGCCCGAAACGTCGGGAATTAAAAATAAAAAGTAAAAATAAACGCGACAAAATCCGTAAAAGTAGTTTTAATCATGTGCAATGTTCGCGTAAATATAAGAAATCATTATGTTAAGTGCATTCGTTTTGTCTATACACGTTTGTATATACACAATAAATTTCAGCTGCTTGGATATTGGCCTTGGGCAATTTAACCTACTGTCGTTTATACTATGCTACTGATAAATACCTGATAGGTTATATTGGTCAGCGGGTTTTATCCCTCTGTGGATATTTCAAATTTCGAACTTTCGAACCAAACGGTTTGCTTTGTCATTTGTAATGCTTACAGTTAAGGAATGGAATAATTAGCCTAATATAGAGATAAAGCAGAAAAAAGTAGATGCTTTCTTATTTTTGACAAAGATAAAAGTCATATTTATTATGGCTATTACTTTTTAGGGGGACTTTAATATAGTTTTACCCCAATAAATCGCCAACACATAGTTTTAGCCACGAATAAATCGAATCCACCTAATTTTAACCAACCGCGACCGACTGCACTTAGTTGTTAACCTAGGCGTAACTGTACTTTGGATTGTAGTCGAGAGATAATTCTGAATTTCAATGATACTTCAAAGATATCTGCAGACCGCACCAATGATTGTAAAATAAACATCCCAACAAGCGTTGATTCGCACTCGAGTATCTGATTATAATACATAGTTGAAACGCGAAACCTAAACGATTGTGTAGGGTAGATACCGTGGAGTCCATTTGTAACCCATTTGCAACATTTGGTTTCCATTATGTGCCAAAAAATAAGTGTACGTTTTTTTTATAGAATAAGGATTACAAACGAGCACACAGTCCAACTGATGGTAAATGTAATGCTATGGCCCACAGAATCAAAATACATATACGTTGTCACCCCTGAGGACTAAGATGAAATGCCTCGTCTCCGGTGAAATGAGTCTCCGGTTCGTTACGTTCATCAAAAGAAACCACTAGCATTAAGCAGCTGTTTTACGCCGGTATTCTGTGAGAGCGTGGTCCTTTTCCTGTATATTATATACCTGCAGTATAGCTCTAACAAGAATAGTAATTGAATACTTTATTTTTATTTTTAGATTGAACTTGAGCGCTTAAATACATCAACAGATGAGATAAATCGTCTCGAAGTCGAGTTGGACGAGGCTCGACTAGTATTCCGTCGTCTTCTCGCCGAAGGGCATCTCCGTATCCAGCAGCTGACGAAGAAACTCGGCACTAGTGTTCACAAAGCGAGGCCTTATTATGAAGCTAGATTTAGAGCTAATATTGTGAGTACTATTTTTTTTTTATCAATACTTGTCTTTGGACGCTTTTTTGTATATTAAAAGGCCAGACATGATCAAGTCGTAATGATAAACCAGTTGCCTGTATTCACTTTGTAGAAACATCTAATGGTTTAATGAAATTACGAAGATGGAAAAATCAGATTGTACGACATCATGAATAGATGAATTTTCATTACCCCATATTGTTCCGTGAGTGTCGTGAGAGGAGATAGAGGGAAATTAAACCAGGAGGTGGGCAGCACCATCTTTCTTATAACAACACAATAAAAATAACAAACTGTGTTTGTCAACCTGCTTACCATGCGTGGCAACTGTGGCAAATATCCCCCTATGAGATAATCTATGGAAGAAGTCTATGTTCAGCAGTGAACTTGGCTGAAATGGTATCGCACTTAATTTTTTTATGTTATACTCCCACCATGTGGTGGCGGCTTAAAAGAATCCATAACCCCATATTGTCCCGTGATTTTCATAAATGGTGACTATGGTTGATGCCGGATATATCTATATGAATTTTACGGGGTAATGAAGATAAAGTTATTCCCGAAGTTTCGAGTGCTTTGCAGCTAGCCGCGCCTAACATGCGCTCGAAATTATTACTACTATACTACAGTTCCTTCAGCGGTTCCAAGTTGACTGTCCGTATATCGAAGTGCTGAAGTGTTTGTACAGTAGGGCTACGATGGCTATCCGAGTACAGAACCAGAGTACGAAACCTATCTACCTTCAGACAGGTGTAAGACAGGGTGACGTTTTATCACCGAAACTCTTCACCGCTGCATTGGAATGTATGCTATGTACGCTGTATTAACATCAATGATGATATATGACGAGTACATCACTCACCTTCGATTTGCCGACGATATAGTCCTAATGGCAGAATCGCTGGAGAACCTAAGCACTATGCTCAATGACCTCAATAGTGTCTCCCAACAGATAGGTCTTAAGATGAACATAGACAAAACAAAGATAATTTTTAATGTCCATGTCACACCTATACCGGTAGTTGTTGGGAGCACTAAGCTCGAAGTTGTTAACGAGTACGTTTACCTGGAATTCAACTCGGCATGGTAGCTTTCGGGAAATCACAACACATCTTCTCGTAAAGTATACCTCAAAACCTGAAAACTAGATTGTACAACCAGTGACTGTAGCCAGTGATGACTTATGAATCTGAGACTTGGTCTTTCACTGCTGGCCATATGAGGACGCTCAAGGACGCTCAGCGAGCTATGGAGAGGGTTATGGTCGGGGTTTCCTTGCATGCATAAGCCTTCCTCAAAAGTCCAAATTGGACTTGAAATAGTTAATTCAAGTTACTATGAAAGTCGAGTACAACTGGATTGACATGATAAATTAACCTGAGTGACTCGACTCATAAAATGCTATTTGAGTCGCACCGTTATCTTACGGCCAATGCAGTGTCTGTCTACAATTTAGTGATGAACTCGACTATGTAATTCGAGCAATTAATTGGTATAGTATGTGATATAAATAAATTGATTAAATATAATTGTAATAGTTAAATTGACTGCCTTGTTGGTCTTGTGTTTGTAGTAGTGCGACTGCTGATTATGAGGTTCTGTGTTTGAATCCCGGGTCGGGCCTAAAAATCAATTATTGAGTTTTTCCGTCAAGAAATTCTCAGTAGTTGCCCGGAGTCACGAAATTGGCGGTGTCTCACCCCCGTGCCTCGGAAAGCACGTAAAGCCGTTGGTCCTGCGCCTGATCTCTTTCCGGTCGTGTCGATTTATCGTCCCATTGGATTATGAGAGTGAGGGAATAGAGAGTGCACCTGTGCTTGCACATACACTTAGCTAGCTAGTTGGCTGGTTTGGCCGATGGCTAGTCTCGATTGAGGCAGGCCGCCGTGACCGAAATTCGGTCTGGAGGACATTAATATAATAGTTAAAATATTACGTCACAAAGTTACAGTGTTATTATTTTAAAAAGAAGTCTATACGCAAACCAAAAATATATAACTACCTATTAAGTTTAATTATAATAATTGTGTTGGATGGAAGAACAAATATAAAAATAATTTGTAACAAATGGACATAGCATCTTTACGCCAATTCAATTCGCATAACTCGAGTTCAATTCGAGTTACGTGATTTTCTTTCGAGTTGGCACATCTCTACTACATTTTTTTTAAATATTACATTACCAGGACCAATGACCTGAACAGGAATATCAAAACTACTCGTGTTAAGAACTCGTGTTAGGCTATTTGCAATATTAAATTGGTATCTTTTTTGTGTGTAATAGCATTGAGGGTCATTAAAATTTCTAGCGGGCCCAAAAACGATTGTCACCTTTCGTCCCTAATTCTTACTGCTTCTAGATCACAAGCATAATCGGATAGTCATCGATATCATGATCACAAGCATAATCTCCATATAATAGAAAACACTATACTGTATTCTATCTTATTCTTATGCTGGTGGAGTTCTATAGATGTATATGGATGTCTTTTTTTTAGTGTCGCTTTTTAGATTCATCGAATTTCAAATTACAACAATTCTAAAGAAATTTTCACTTCAAAAAATATGAACGTAACTACAGTGTACGTGATAGAGCCATGCTACAGCTATCGTACGAATGGGTCGGCTCGACCGGGGAAGGATCACGCTCTCACAGAATACCAGCGTCAAATAGCAGCTTAATGCTGCTGTGTTTCGTATGGTGAGTGTAGAGAACCGGAGACCCTTTTTACTGGAAAAGAGGCATTCCATCTTAGACCTCAAGGCTGACAACGCATCTGAATTTTGATTCGCAAACGAGGACAGATGTAGATGTCTATGGGCCACAGCAACCACTTACCATCAGGTGAACTGTGGGCTCGCTTGTCACCCTTATCATATAAAAAAAAAACACCAAAAATGTGTAAAGCACCCTAGGTACTAGGTACAGGTTCCTAGGTACAAAAACGCACATAAATACATCAAGGTCTGACAATCGGAGCCAGTATGCAGGTCGCTTCACTTATAACACTGCCGCGCGTTGTAAACTGGCGGCGATTGTCATTTGTGTGCGTGTATCTCGCGTATGACTGACAAAATTGTAAGGAGCTGTTCTATTGCCATCGCTCGCACGATGATGCGATGCGATTTCATTGTCCGATGAATCCGCACGCGCGATTTCTTCAGTCGCATCGCATGATCGCACGACGTTCAATAGGACATTCCGCAGATATGAGTATGTTTAAACGCACGGTCGCACGATCATTTTCGTCGGACGCAACGCATGATCGCGCGAGCGATGGCTATAGGACAGCGCCTAAGACTATCAATGTGGACGTTATAAAATACGGACGTATTGTTACGTCCGTATTTTATAACGTCCATGTATTTATTTAAAGACCTCGCAAGAGCTTCAAGCCGCGACACTTGCCTACGATAAAGCCAACAGCGCGCATGCGGCTGCCAGAGAAATGGTGTACCTCGCGGAACAAGGACTTGCGAGGCTGGCAGAGAGCTCGGAGGGCGGTCTCACTCTCGACCCAGCCTGGCAGGAAATGCTCAACCATGCTACGCATAGAGTCAACCAGGTATTTTAAATTATTGCATCATTATCACTACTTGTGTAATGGCGGTGTAAGAATATTTACTACCCCTTACGCTAGAGCTGGAGCTGTGGGTGTCATAAGAGCCGAATGAGGGAAACAAACCAAGAGATGCTGCTGTTGAGCAGCGTCTTCGAAGAACAACTAAAAAATAAAAAGCTGCCGTGGCACCCGCCTACCGATCGTGGCAAATATGGCAGATATCCCTATATGAGGCTATGTAAAGCAGTGACTTTGAACTTCACGGACTTTAGATAGGCTGTAAGGGACGGATGAAACGGAATGTCATTACATTTTGCCACAAGTTCCCTGCTGAAAATAGGCCTTCCCCTTAAATTGCCACCTAATGTGTTTTTCTTAAAAATCCCCTATTTTTAACCGACTTCAAAAAAGGAAGAGGTATTCAATTCCACTGTATGTTTTTATGCGTTATCTCAGAACTTTTCCCTAGGTGAATTTATTTTGGTGATTCTTTTATCTGAAAGCTGGTGCTGCTCGTATGGTCCCATATAAATTTAATCAAGATCTGACTAGTAGTTTTTGAGTTATCTATAATAATGCGTATTTAATTGACTTTGAATACATTGATGATGTTCTCAATTGAAATGTATTGAAGTCAGTTGTACAAAATTCTTAGTTTTACCATTTTTTGTATACCCTAACCAGACATCCGAACCCTGCTTCGGCATATCAAGAAGAACTTAACATTGTACCTGTGACTACATCTTATAAATAACAACAGTTTTATTAAAATCGGCCCTGTAATTTTCATGTGATGCGCAAACAGACAGACAGACAAAAAGAAAGGAGAGAGAGAGAAATCGGCTGCACTATATTATTAGTTGTCGTCATTACACTCGTATCTTAAGGCCCTGATCGACGAGCTAGCCACAATCCTATGGTAAAGATTATAGCGGTTTTATCGTGGCTCGTCTTTCTTCACACACTGGCAAAGAAACAGTTATTGTTTAGAATTTGTGAAGCAATGTACCAAAATTCATGCAACACTAGCGAGCCACGGGTTAGGCTCCTCGTATCACACCACCAACCTTAAGTTATTTGTGTCGTTGCATTTCGACGAAATTATCGAATCAGTATTACATGAGGTATAGGTAGGTTGGCCAGATCGGAAGACCAAAATATTTGGAGAAATATTGAAAGCCGGCGTTTGTAAGTTGTTGTTGGGAGAAATAAATATTAAAAATAAAAAGTTTCTTTTTTTAATTAAGAGACTACAAAAAATACTTTAAACAAAACTAATTTAAGTACACTTAATTTTTAGGTTGCCATATGTATTTGGCATTGGACTTTACTAAGTCTACCAGTTTGAATCCTTTAGTTGTATTCATAAAAGATTTAAAATTCAAGCAATTTACTTTAAAGTTCAGTCTAATTACTAACTCAGTTTTTATTAAATCTAAGGCCATACGTTTACTTTCCGAGGAACTGTTAGGATTTTAAGTTGGGTCGGGAGTCTGGAGATCATTTAAAATATCGCGAGAATCCAGACGAAACCCGAACATCTGGCAACCCTAGGTATAGGTTAGGCTATCTTTAAACTGCGGTTTAGGTGACGAGGTTTTGCTTTTTTGAGTCTTTTTGTTTGCAACAAAAGAAGTTGAAATCTGCTTAATGAGCGTTCCAATGGGTATTTTGAAGTTTTACTATTATTTTCTTACTTCTTCAAAAATAGTAGGCAAGTATAAAGTGTTTCTGTTCAACAAATAGAGACTCGCCGTAATCATCTTACGTAGTTGCTACCCACATTACTAAAATGTTACATATGCTGCTCACAAACACCAGAACATACTTGGGTCATGAAACTTTTGAGATTGTGTACATCTTATCTCGTGGAAAACCATGAGATTACTTGTAAACAATTCCATTAGAGGACTATTAGGACGTTCATTGAACCAGATTATGATGACAGATTTTACGCCGTCAGAACAAAATTGGACTTGGTTTTTCGGATTGGATTTCTTTATTAAAGTCAGTTTGACAAACATGCACATAGCCCACGTTGGATCCTGTAGCGCATAGACACCAACATCAGCAAATGTATAATTTTTTTACATCTGAGGACTAAAATGTCTCGTTCACAGTAAAAGAGGATCCCCGGTTCACGTCACTCAATATTGGAAACACAGCATGTTGCTGTTTCACACTTTAAGAGGGTAGACGGGCTGCATTTTTTTCATACGTGGTAGGTATTCCCCTATTTTCTTCTTGGATAATGCCTCTAGTAGGCATAGCCCATATAGGACGTAGGCATGCCCCTGTCATTTACTTTTTTGCAAAAAATTATTACAAAAATAAATATGACTTTCCAAAAACCTAAAAAGATGCCCCGTTTTTACCTACGTAATCAGACGACTACTACCAAAGAAATTTGAAAAGTTTTTAAGATAAAAGCAAATGATAGAAGCATAGATCTATTATTTTGATACCAAAAATAATTTAATTGGCTTATTTTTCGAGGTGAAAACAGGGGAATACGAAATGATGATCGGTCATGGTTTTTGTAGGTAAAATCGTTTTGAGCTGCAGTTGTCCCTATCGCACTCTTCGGATGGAGACCAGAGGTGAGGGACGGCAATAGTTTCTTCAAAAACCTATTTTTCAATTCCCGCGCAGACCGTCTACTCTCTTAAGGCGCTACCTCCAGCGAACGACCTTGAGCGTTTGGTCTGTCGAAGCTCGCTACAATATATCGCGTAAGAAATCGCCAAAAGACGCCACCTACTGCTACGAACGTAGTATTATTTTTTCGATGTCAATGAACTATTCTATGGAAATAGACACGGCGTACAATGATAAATGTATTTTAATTTTCTTTATTCGATATATTAGTTGCATTATATTAGAATTATGTATTCTAATATATTATCTAATTAATAAAAAAGACTATTTTGATTATTTTTAACTATATACTATACTGCTAATATTGAATTAGCTTTTTATAGTGTAAATTATAATATTTGTCGAAATATTAATTATGGATTCGAACTTTACATGCTAATGGTGCTTCATTTTTGTTATTTTCATTTACTTACATATTGAAAATATACTTGAATAGTAGGTATTATTATTTTATTTAGCTTCTGAATTTTAGGATATGTTTTACCTTGAGGTCAAATATAATTTTGAGGAGCAATAGTTATTACCTACTAATCTTTTATCTGCTATTCCTTATTTAGGAACAATATTAGTAAATTGAGTTTGAGGGAGATTTACTGTTTATAATGCTACATTTATTATTTTAATATTTACCTACTGGGTAGGTAATTATTAAAATAATAAATATAGCATTAGTAAATAAATAGATATTTTTTTTTTAAATTTTTAAAATTAAAATTTTCGTATTTTTAAAAATTACTAAAAAAAAGGGTTTGAAATAATAGATTTTATCACAAAAGAAGAGAACTTGAAAAAAAAAGGAAAAAAAAGCGGGACCAAAGCCAAGACGCGAACCACGGAACTCCGATATCACGCCCGACCGACATACCACCTGAGCTATAACGACCGTTAGTGATTTGTCGAAATTTACCTTCTTATATTGTAGCAGTTTTTTTATTGCCTGAAAACATGGACAAAAGGACATTTTCTAAAAATAAATCCAAGCGTTCGTCGCTAAAATCGTTGGAGCCGTATAATTTTCTCATCTGGTTCGGTTATATAAATATTTAAATATATAAAAATTATAAATTAAAATTAAAAGATAAATATACATGAATATCAATAAAATAAAATAAATACAAAATAATATTATATTATTACTGTTATTATTATTATTATAAGTTGTGGTTCGCTGAAGCTGCAACCTAATGGACCATGATCTGAAATTTTTATGAAAAGAAGTGGCTGACGTCAATTATTATTATTCTTATTATTTTTTCATTACTGCCTTTTTCAACCTCACAAGATATTTGTAACTGCAAAAAAGAAAACTACGTATAAGTAAGTAAATCAGTAATATAGTGTTATGTATGATTCAGACTAAATAAAGGTTCCTAAAAATAGACGTAGATAAAGAAATTGCATAAAAAATTACTCAAATAAAAATGCAATAAACTTGTTAATTTTATAGGTACTTAGTAAAATATTAAAATAATAAGTTTTTTAGGATATTTATGTAAAACATAAAGGTTATATTATGTTCTAACTACGTTCACGCTTGCGCATATAAAACCGCGGAATTTCACTAGTTTTATTATCAAAATAATAATTGACAACCCTACCCTAAGTTTGCCTTGATTTTACCAACTCAAACTCGTTTTAGGAGATCAAAATATAGAGAGAAAGATAGGAGACTATTTTTTATTTAATATGGTTGGATCTTTATTTATTTGTATATTTTTTGTATTTATTTTATTTTATTGATATTTATGTATATTTATCTTTTCATTTTAATTTATATTTATAAAAACCAACCAGATGAGAAACTATACAGATACCCCAATAATAATAATATAATAATAATAATATTCCACAACTATCACACAACGCCATCTAGTCCCAAGCTAAGCAGAGCTTGTGTTATGGGTACTAGACAACTGATAAACATACTTATATATTTCTAAATACATAAATATTATAGATAAATTACACCCAGACACAGAACAAATGATCGTGCTCATCACACAAACATTTGTCCTGGGTGGGAATCGAACCCACGACCTGCAGCATAGCAGTCAGGGTCACTAACCACTAGACCAACAGGCCTGACGATAAATAAAATAAAGTCTCTAGCTCGAGAGGAGAGGAGACGTGGTAGCTCAGATGGTTAGCGCTTGCTAAAATTTTCACAGTGTGCGAGCAAACCGGGTTCGATCCCCGCCGGCACCAGTAATATTGTAATTGCAATTTTAAGTGTTGATTTACCACGTGCTCAGTGGTGAAGGAAAACATTGTGAGGAAACCTGCATGTCTGAGAAATAAGAAAAAAAATATTTCGAAGACATGCAAAGTTCGCCAACACGCAGTGATAATTCCTTTCCTAGGACCCTTTCAGAAAATAGAATAAAAAAAAAAATAATAAATCCAAACTTCATTTAAAACCAAACATATAAATTGTAAAGTAGCTGCAGGTATCTATAACCAAGTAAAAGATATTACTTTACTCCAACTTGTCCATGTTTCCCAAAACAATTTTTAATTAAGCTTTATATTATAATGCGGATTTTTTATATTTAAAATTTTAATAATAAAGCATTTCGTACGTCTCAGCCGAGGCGCAAATATTTTTCGGCCGCAAATTTATAAGACCGATTTGTTATTCAAACATAAACATGGTTTTTAATTAAATCTACCAATCATAAAACGACACGCATTTTTATTGAACACTTCCTATTCAATTCACAAAGTACCTATTATATATTTGTTTATATAAAAAATTATATTTAAGTACAATCATAAAACTAAATGGAAACACAAAGTAGGAAAATGCATTGAGTTATAAAACACATAAATCAATGGGCAAATGTAAAAATGCTGGAGGCAGGCATCCCTATCGCATGTTTACGTACCGCACGGCTGTAATATTTATTTCTAAGATACGGCCGAGTTACAATATACCGTGACGTAAGCGCATCGGTTGGTAGGTACTCAAATAATATTATGTTTGCGGCGAAATACGGACGCGCGGCGACCAGCGACGCGGCCACCTCGTATGAACGCATACAGCGTAATGCCGCCCGCACTCTGCGCACGCCCCTTTATCATAGAAGTCACACAATTTTCGGAATTATTTCAATTAAAAGAGAAAAAACGAACTTAAAAATTTAAATAAAACGTGGAGAATATAGATTTTTTAATTATCTATCCATTAGTGTTATCCTCAAATGATTAGAGCGTTGCGTTTAGCAACAGATGCATGTAATCAAGAATTTTAGTCATTTTTTAAAAGTTGATTTTAAATGTATTTATAGCACATAAAAATAAATTAGAACGTGGAATGCGATGATAAGATATCGAACATTAATAATGTACTTTTAGATGTAGTTTATTTTTCATAACTAATGAGATAATAGAGTCTGAAAAACGCACTTTCGCAACATTTTGGTCAGGGATTCACCTTAAGGCGCTACTCCTAACGAATGACGTTGAGCGTTCAATCCTATACATTCCACGTGCTCTCGCTACAATATATCGCGTAAGAATCACGTACGCTCAAATTTTATAATATTTTCTTTATAAAATCGAATTGATCCTTTGAAAAAATTAAATAGATCAAAATGTTCACTAATAAATTGCCTATCCATCAGTGTCAATCGCAAAATAAAATAAATCTTACTTTATGAGATGCATGTTATCAATAATTAATTATTTCGCATTTCTGTGGTTTAGTTGTAGGAATATTCATCCAGTAATTACTCCTTTAAAAAAAAATTGGTACTGGCTATTATGAAGTCAAGATTATGTAGAAATTTAATAGATTTTTATTAGTTGATATTTTTTTTAATAACAAATTGATTTAAAAACCTCACAAATAACGACTAGCTCGGCATTTTGCTCAAACCTTAACTTAACTTACGTAGGATTTAATGTCCCTTAAACTTTTATCATAATGCAACTAAAATCGAGATAATCTAACAGACATAAACAGCAAACCCGGCTCCTATCTTACCTGTGTACCAACACGCATTGGCAATTTTTATTTTTTATTTTAAGGCTGAAGCCGATCGTGCATCTGCCACGGTAACGCAGAGAACTAAAGCCGCGGCACACCGAGCGGCCGCCGCTTTAGTACAACAGTTGCAGAACGGTTTGAAGAGGCATATAGCAAAATCCAGGTATGTTTGAAAATATAAAATATACAGGCGTAATCAATTATAAATAATTATAGTATTATGAAATGTATATTGAAATCTACTTCAAATTACCATTAGATTTGATTGAATGATGATTAATGATGAAATTCGGAACCACAGTTCAATAAAAATAAACAAAACCGGCAAAATAACGCCGAAAATATTGAGTGATTGCGGTATTCCACATTGTCTTTTGTGTTTGTCTATTTATCTTATTGAAATAAAAGTATGCAGTATAGTGGAGCAATTATTTATTATTCAGAATTCGTTTTATTTATATAAATAAGTTATTAAAACAAATGACTAATAATACGCCAAATACAGTAAATATCGAATACCCGGAGCCAATAATTGAGTAAAGTGCCAGCAAAACAAGAAATACGTAATTAAATGAATAACTGCACTGTATAGGACATAGAATACTATAATACATACATAATAGAACGGGGGGTGGGCTGAGCCCGCGTAGCCATTAAAATGTCGCTAACACGTCAATTGAAACGTATAAATGTCAACACGGGATGTGTTTTGACGTTACAGTCGTTTCCAAATTTCGCATGCAAATTATTTAAAAAATGCGAAATTGCACCCTATTTACAAATAAATATGTATTAAAATTTAAACGATTTTTTAATGATGATCTTGAACATTAATCAAAAGTCTAAAATGTGTAAATTTATTCAGTTTGTAAACACAGCGAATCGGGTTTGGCGACGCCAATCCACGTACAAAATACAGTTGACAGCCATTCTATTGTGTATTATAATTATAGTAATCTATGGTATAGGATAGTTCTTTCTATAAGCTATGGCGTGTGGAAGAAAGGTATGCTTATATAAATTGTCGGATATTACATTTAGAAATTATCTAAAACGTCTTGCTTCATTTTTAACGCAGTAGATTCAGTTCATACTTAAAATTGCACTAACCAACTTTTTTCTAAAATCAGTTTGTGACCTTTAACGTAACACAAGTAGTAAGTAAAACACAAGTAAATATACATAAGACCTGCCAGAGATAAAAACATGCTTTTAAATTCCTTTTTTGAATTTGTTTACTTATTTATTACCAAAAAAATTAATACTTTTTTAACATTATCTGTAAATAATTTTACTATTACATTTTATTTATGCCTGACATAGATTAATTAAAGCATTAAGTGCATGTTTAGCTCAATCAATAAATCTACGTTTGCCAATAGTTTTAGTGAAAACATACCTTATACAAGATCAAGTTCACCATTGTTGTTGCAGTCTTTCTTTAATTTTCTTGAAGTTACCGACTCACAATACAATATAGTTTGTACAGCCCACTTATGGATCTTTCTTATAGTAAAGAGGTTTGCCGAAATCGCAATATATTATAGTGGTTGCACAAATGGGTCGGCTCGACCAGGGCATGACTACGCTCTCATAGAATACCAGCGTAAAATACTGAGTACTGTGTTTGTTAAGGTGGAATGTGTGGTGGTACGTCACGCTTATTCTATAAAATAAATCAGTCGTTAACACGCCTTTGACGCAGCTTCCTGTCGCTGTTACGGGTATTTTAGAACTGGTATAAATACCAGATGGTTACAGCGCCATCTACAGCAGGGAATGAGTTTTTTATGGCCTTTAAGTCGCCTCTAACGATATCCACGAGACGATATGTGGTGATCGATTATATTACACCACCACCGCACACGGCTTCTGTCGCTTATTTCTGCAAAGCTCTAATCATTTTCAAGTTGTTTCAAAGATAAACCAGTTAGTAGAAGGTCTATAATCACTCGTTAATCAGCTAAGATACACGTAAATAAAATATAGGTTGTACATAGTTTGAAGAGCATCTCTCTTCCATCTACTATCACTGCCACGTCTAAACTCATCACAACTACCCCCAACTCCACTGCACTAGGAAAGACACCACCGTCGATAATACTGCAGGGCATTTTTACCCCCTTTTGACCACTTTTAGCAGTTAACCATCATAGACTATTTTTCTTTATCATGCCCTTTTAGAGATGGTGTTGAGGGGGGTGGTTATATTGGGTCTAGTGGTGGTAGTGTTAGTACGCGCATTGTAGGAGGAAGCGAGATGCTCTTGAAACTAGGAACGATACACTATTTTATTTTTCAAGCTGATCTAAACCAATTGAATGTTCACATCTTATATAATACTATCAATTGTAATTATTAATGTGCTTTTAAAATGTTGATAAATACCAAATTTGAAATAATTAAAAATAGACCTCACGTATTGTTGATAGTTCCCAATATAAAAGTAGAAATAGCGATGGAATGGCAACTTTTCAACTATATTCTCTAAAAAAAAAAGTATTGTAGATATATTAGTACGGCTTTTTACGAACTAACATAATTTATTTTGTACTAGCTTATTGCACATATGTAATTTCTAAGCTTGTTTAGTTTAGTTTGCACAAAACAATTTCTCTTCCACAGGCCGCACGACGTCGCCCGCGATGCCATACTCACGTTTGGTACATTTTTTCTTTTATCTGTGCATGTTTCATAATTTGTTTGTCTGTCACTATAATTAATACTTTAATGCATGTATGTAGATAAATTGCGCATGATTTGTTTACTTTTTGTGATACCAGAATTAGTAATATTAAATTGTGTCTAATATATTTATTATGTTTTTCTATTTTGTTTCATCATAACTTCTGTCACACTTATATATGATGCGTGGTTTCAAAAAAGAAAACAATGCCTTTTCAAAATAAAAATTCCCAACAAGGCACAAGTAATGTGTATTTTTTTTTTACTTCTACAAAATCTAATCGGTGCCAAAAATATTAAAACAAATAAAACCAAAAAATTCAATCTGAGAAGATTGCATTTGATATATAATTTGTTATTAAGATTAGGTGACAGAACTTATGCCTTGCTGAATGTGAATGAATTTAATATTTCTGTGTAATTTCATACACTACAATGCATTTATACATTTTACAGTGTGAGAAATTCTTTGTTGTGTTGTGTTGGTCCTTCGAGTCGGATTGTGCATTTCTTTTTAATTTTAGGCCATATTTTGAAGAAAAAGCTCGTATAAATGCAGCATTAGAAGCTCAAAAGGCCCGGATACAAACCTTAGAGGAACAAGTTGCAGAAGCAAAACAACAATACTCTTCGGCGTTAAGGAACCTCGAAAGAATATCAGATGAAATCCACCGACACCGATCCAGACGACAGTCCACTAGAAACGGTATATTAGGTTTTATTTTTCAAAAACTATACTATATTTACATTCACTACATCAACTGTTACAGTCGTTTATTATTGAAAATAGTTTTTAATCGTTGATTCGTAAATTTAATCTCGATCTCGACTAGCGTTTTGTAGAGATGTACATGTAAAAAGACATTAAAATTTGTGTTGAATGTATAATTTTTTATTGAATGATTTGCTGGTAGCGCTATTGGATTACTCTTTTATTATTGTTTAGATAATGGTATGAACATTTAATAGGTAAAAGTGTACCATTTTATGTATTAAATGTCTGCGCATGTAAACTTTTAATAAATACATCAGAATACATAA